CCTACAGCTGCATTCACATTATCTTGCTCGTTTAAATATTTTCTCCCTGAGTTTGCACATTTTGTACTCTGGCTGAAGCCAGCACTGGCGTGGCCTTGCTGCCCTTTTGCCTTCACTGTGTCCAACAGCCAATCCAAAGCGGCCAACTGTTCCCTCTTTATCCAATCTCGAAGCACCAGCATACGCGGACCTCCCGACAGACCATTTTTAGCATTTTGCTGCTGTGCTGATGCTCCTTTTTGTATGCAGGTACTAAAACTTCAAAGAGTTTGCAGCTGCCCCATGAGACATTCAAACCCCTGGTTAGCAGTCACTGCTGTGACCTTTGACCTTTGGAACTATTGGTTTATGAAGAGTGTGAACGGCTGTTTTGAACATAGCAGGACTGGTTTTAATGTTGTTTTATGTTGGTGAACTTGTTGACTCCATTCATCAGTGCACTATTTCTGAGTAACCCGGTGAATGGACGCTGTGTGCAGACATCTGGTAAACATGCTCCTCTGCAGCCCAGCTACTGCCTGAACTGTCTGGGACCTTATCTTAATGTTGTATGTGTGCTCCCACAGCCCGTCACCATGGGATAAAGTTCACATATGGAGCACGTACAGAATATAAAGAGATGTTTCCATGTTAAAAGCCTGCAGACTTGCATGCAGTCACACAGGTTAACACAGTTTGAAATAATACATTTTTGGAAAGTGGCAGGTGGGAATTTATTTACATTTAGGTTGAATTTGTAGAACAGTGTTTATAATTATTACTGTTGCATCACATGCTGAAGATAGCAGCAGGCCGCAGTTCTCCGGCTGGATCCGGCCTCACACTGCTGTGCACGGCAGCTGAGCTGGCACAGTGCCCCCTCTGATCTTTGTTACATTCACATGTCCTACTTACAGGCGCAAAGCAGCATATTTACTGTGTGGATATTAATGGGTAGGCAAGGTGGTGCTATGCATTAGGTGGTCCCAAACCTTTTTTTCATGCAAACACTATACAGTTTGCATTAAATCATGTTTGTAGTATTCACGTGCACATTGTGGCCTCTAAAGTCTAAACACTTTTGTGATATTGTCTTGATGGACAGTAAAGCCTTGGTGTATTACAAATCTGTAACCAGATTGCTTTTGTTTTGGTCTGTTAGAGAGTCAGACACTGAAGTCCAAATTTGTCCAGTCCTATCCTCAGACATAAACACAGTACAGTATATTAAACAATGCATTTACAGGGAAAAAGCAATTCACTTCTCCTACCAAATGGTAAAAGTGGATCAATAGAGGAGGTGTGACCCCTCACTGACAAATGATTCATTCATTATGTTTTGTGTGTCCATCAGAAGACATAAAATTGATATTATTGGCCCAGTAAACCATGGATTGAAACGTGCTGTAACAGACATGGTGATTTCCCAAAATATTGGTATTAAGACTGCAGTACTGTACGGCCTGGAACAGAGAATGAGATGAGAGGATGAAAACAACTCTCGTGTATCTGTCACATATGAAACTGGAGCTTGGAGATGGATAGCTTAGCATAAAGAGTAGAACCAGGGGAGAACAGCTAGTCTGCTAAGATATATACAGGGGCAGAATAAGCACGACATAATGCAGGAGCATGAGACTAAATTGATTTGATACCATCGCTGCTGGTTTTCAGGTTTCTGGGCCCGGGAGGTGGGCAAGATGATTGGATTTGAACATCCCACCATTCCAGTGCATCACCAGTATGTAGTGACAGCAACAGTGCCAGAGGTGAAGGCTCTGAAGAAGGAACTGGCTGTCATCAGAGACCTGGAGAGCTCGTACTACCTGCGCCAGGAAAGAGACGGCCTGCTCTTTGGCCCGTATGAAAGGGAGGACAAGATGGTGCTGCAGGACTCCTGGGTCAGAGATGGGGTGCCTCCAGGTCTGCCTGCCAAGGATAACATTTTGTTGATCCATTAAGAGCAGTCTTTAATTTCTCTTCTTGTAGGTTAAACATTATGTTTTCCCTGCTTTGTGGCTGCCACAGGTTTCGGAAAGGAGCTGTTTGAGTCGGACCTTGACAGGATAATGGAGCATGTTGAGATGGCCATGGAGATGGTCCCTGTGCTGAAGAAGGCTGACATCCTCAACACTGTGTCTGGACCAATCACATACACCCCTGACCTGCTGCCCATGGTGGGACCACACAGAGGAGTCCGTAACTACTGGACTGCCATTGGCTTTGGGTATGTGTCATGGTGCTCTTTGCCAAACTGGTGTTTGGAGAGCAGAGGCTTCCTCCAGGATGTTCTTCCATGTTCAGCATGTTTTATAGTTTGTCTTATTTTTGCTGTGAAAAGTAGGTGGTCAGTGAATGTTTATCATCGTAGATTTTGCTGATCAAATTAACACTGGTCAGCACCTTAGTAGACTGCTCCTACATGCACTAAAGTCATGCTCTAAGCTTAGATTTTGTGTTCAGGTATGGAATTATCCATGTCGGTGGTATCGGCAAGTTCCTGAGTGACTGGATTAGGAATGGAGAGCCTCCCTATGACCTGATTGAATGTGACCCCAACCGCTATGGCAAATGGACAGACGTGCCTTTCATGTGTGCCAAAGCTCGAGAATCCTATGGCTTCAACAACGAGGGTAAGCAGACCAAAAGATGATTGTATATTTGTAAATAAAAGCTTTTTTTTCACTGCCACTAAACTCCTTGCTGCCTGCTCCACGTTCTGCTGGCCTCTGCAGTTGGTTACCCCAAAGAGGAGCGTTTTGCCGGCCGGCCAACCAGCCGAACAAGCGGTGTTTATGAACTGCTGAAGGATAAAGCATCCATGGGCTTTCACGCGGGCTGGGAACAACCTCACTGGTTTTACAAACCTGGAGATATCACTGGATACAAGTATGGTTTCCTCATAAATCTCTTGTACTGTCTCTGTTGTGTGATTGATGAGATGCCAAGCATAACACTCCTAAATAAAAATTCCCTAAGTTTTCTTTTAGCTTTTGATTTGTAGCTTCTTTGAATTAATTTTCTGACTGCTGTTTCGCTCCTCTAATAAGCCAGAAATCACAAATTCCTGCACTAGTTTCACACCACATCCACTAGGACTTATCAAATAAAGAAGCTGTGACTGTTTCTGATAGAGGTCAACAGCAAAACAGACATGCATACATAAAGGATGGTTGTGTGCAGAAAGGGCACAGTGTTTTTGGTGCAGTAGGTAAGTATGCAGAAGAGTACAAACACATGTCTGACACAGAGCTCCCTCCTCCCAGGCATCTCAGTTAGTGCAAACTCAGCAGTCTCCTCTAACTCCAAACCACAGGACCAGAGAACCACGTAGATATTTAAATGCCACACTGAAATAAGAGGGCAGCTGCTAACCTTGAGCAACACATGCAGATAACTGTCAGCAACTGCAATGGGCACAACTGCACCATGCACAGGATCCGAGTCTCTAAATATACACTGTGATGTTTTTAAAAGCCACCCAGTCACAGTTCTAGGGACTCGTGCCACTTGATCTTCTCAGTAGCTACACACTTGGCTCGCATCAGTAACACCCAGATTTTCCTTTGTGCAAATATAAAAGCCATGGTCATAGTCTTGCTATGCAACTTTCTTTGTTTTCTGACAAAAATGTCAAATATTTGATGAGTTCAATGTGAGAATTCATTTACATTCCAGTGACCTGGACAAAACAAGACATTTAATGACATCACTTTATGCTCTCTGATTTTAAAAAAAAATGTTTTTGTGATATTTTATAGACTAATTGATTACTAGAGAAAATAAAAAGTAGACTAATCAATAATTAAAAGAGCATTTGGCCCTGTGTCTCACAAAGTGTATGCTTCTTTAGTCTTTTTGAGTTGTTCCAGCAGAAGTTAATAATTTGTTCTGCTGGTAAAACCGTGTTCATTCATTACACTTGCACATCAGTTTTACATTATGCAATGAATGCAGTAAGAAACATGTCAGTGAACAATGTTGTGCAATAAAAGTTACTCATTAAAACACAAACACAGAAATAACGTCATCATTGCTTTTGTGCTGTACTCAGGCCAAGTTTTCGACGCATAAACTGGTTCAACCCAGTTGGCAGGGAGTGTAAGCTGGTGATGGAGAAGGTGGGAGTGATCGACCTGACACCTTTTGGCAAGTTCATAGTGAAGGGGAAGGACTCACACAGGCTGCTGGACCGCCTGTTTGCCAACACTATGCCCAAGGTAGAGCACAATTACTCAAAGTGTCTATTGTTTTGTTGCTGTAGATGTGAATATTGTAAAGTGTATCCACAGGATTTTGACCATTTTAACTCCCACCATTACGCTAGTGTTGCACAAATAGTCATATTCTCTGGACACATCAATCAGCTCCAGAACTCTCGCATGGTGATCCAGGAGAGAGACCGTGTGATCAAAGAGCTGGAGGAGAAAGTGGCGTTCTTGGAAGCTGAGGTGAGGACTGTTTTTTAAAGAACTGAGTGGAATTTAGAGTGAAGCACTGGTATAAATATGGAAGTGAGATGCAAGGAAAAGGAAACACATTCAGCTCAGTCTGATTTCTGCAAAGAGAAATGAGAAGTGAAAGAGAAGGAAATGCAACCACTGTCTGTTTGGTGGCCACTTTTCATACTGGTATTATGTGAACTGACCGCCAATACCACCTGTGTGTGCAGAACCGAGAAATGCATGACCAGATGGACTACTTCCTGGGGGAACAAAGGTCAAATCCCTACTCTTCATCGGAGCATACTCCCCAGATCGTCTATAGGTAACTTAACTTTGCCCTTATTTGTCAGATTTTTTTTTTTTTTTTCAAAATGTAGATCCATTTGCACATCCTAATGGTCATGAAGGGTCACAAGTATGGCATTTCAACATAAATAAAAATATAATCATGTAGTAAATCTTGGCATGAACTGGGCCCCAACTCCCAAACAATGCATGCAAGCACACATATCCACTTGCTAACATTCAGAAATCCACTTAATCTAGTTGTATGGAAGAGTATTAGTGCCACTGTACAAAATTTGAGTTCTGACTTTTTTTCTAAAATCTGAATTCTGAAAAAGCATTAAAGAATTCTGAGCAAAAACAACTATCCATTTTATGGTATCTAAATATGAACAATTCATTTTTCTCTTTCTCTACAGTAAACCACTTAAGCTGTCCTCCTCATCTAACAAACCACTGCCTTTAATGAAAGTCATCGAGATCAAGTCATGAAGTGACTCTGCAGAAGAAAGACAATTCTGGAGTGAAGAGCTCAGAACCACCGAATCTTTTCAATGCAGACTGAAACCAAACAGTAGTGTTGCTACCGTATTAGATCACATAAATCTCTGGAATATCAGAGCTGAACTTCCTGGAATGCTCACATGTGCAAAGGGGGACTGACTCTCTAACATACCATATGGTGACACTGTGAGTGTGTGTGTGTGTGTGTGTGTGTGTGTGTTTAGGTGAACTTGGCTGGGAGCTGTACATTGACCAGAAGAACATGGCAGCTGTGTACCGGGCTGTGATGGAAGCAGGAAAAGATGAGGGCATCGATAATTTCGGCACCTATGCCATGTCCTCCCTCAGACTGGAAAAAGGCTTTAGAGGCTGGGGGGCTGAGGTCCGTGCACACACACACACACACACACACACACACACAAGTAGCACAGGCTTTTTCTGAGGAGATTAACATGTCAACCTTCACAGATGAACTGCGATACCAACCCTCTGGAGGCTGGATTGGATTATTTCATCAAACTGAACAAGGTAAAACACCTGTCTGTCTTTTTTTTGTTTTAGCTTTTTGTTGTGTTTTTACTGTATCTTATTTGATGTATTGTCACTCTGGGAGTTGCTCTGCTGTTTTTCTTTCTGTATACAATGACAAATAAATTTGAACTTGAACTCATTTTTAGCTAGTCAGTCTTCACCATGCTAGCACTGTGACTGTAGGGATGACCACTTGTCTACACTGAAATTTGGTTCAGATACCCGTGGTACCCAGAGGATGAATCCTACTGATTTTAGTAATCACCTGACTCTCCTACAGCAGGTCAAAATGTTTACTTATTCTTTGAAATATATGAATATTCACTAGATAGATTTGTATTAAATTATGTACAGGCCTTCATGGGAACCAGTAGATATATTTTAAAGACTTCAGTGATCCCCTTGATTTTTCCACTAGTGTCATCATTAGATTCAACTGTATCGTCATTAGTAGTACATCTAACCAGATGTGCAATAACTGCACACTCTGTGCTGCTGTTATTGCACATCTGGTTAGATGCTAAACTGCAGTTCTTTGCCTTGTACTTGTACGTGGGTAATGACAATAAAGTTGAATCTAATCTAATCATGAGGTTCCATTTGGCAATATTGCCATGAAATTTGGTTTAGCTATTCATGTTCCTTTCAGAATGAATTATAATAATTTTTCACCTTAAATGTCTTTAACTTCCTTCCTTAACTTGTCCTCTGTCACCATCATCAGGTCAACATTGTGACCAAAATAACTGACCTTTCCATCAGCCTTAACTGCACTGTGTTTGGTGCTAATTAGCAAATGTTAATATGTTAACAGGATAAACTGGATGGTGAACATTATATCCATTAAAAGTCAGCATACTATTATTAGCCTAAGTACAGCCTCACAGAGCTGCAAGCTCTTAGTCTTGTTATATTTCCAAGTTTCCATGATCCTTCTGTAACTACAAATAACTAAAATTAACACTGTTTGTCTGTGTGGTCCAGCCTGTTGACTTTATTGGCAAAGCAGCCCTTCAGGAAATCAAAGCCAAGGGCCTGAAGAGGAAACTGTCCTACATCAAACTGGATTCAAATGATAACGACCCAGAGGGCAACGAAACCATCTGGCACAATGGCAAGGTTAGCAACGCTGGAAAGACTCACTGGTCCTCTAGTAAATCTTGTCATCTGTGGTTACCCTCACTCAGATGGTGTCCCTTGTGTTTCTCGTCAGGTGGTCGGCAACACGACGTCCGGGGCCTACAGCTACAGCAGCCAGCAGAGCCTCGCGTTCGCCTATCTGCCTCTGGAGCTGTGCTCTGTAGGTCAGAAGGTGGAGGTGGAACTGCTGGGGAGGAAACACCCTGCCGTGGTCATCCAGGAACCTTTAGTCCTCACTGAGCCCACACGAACACGGCTGCAGAGGAAAACAAAGGGCTAAGCATAAGCATAGGCTGACTTCAACCAGTTTGTCACCAGCTAATGAAGGATGATCTGGAACGGTTATGATGGCTGAAGCTGTTATGAAGAGAAATCGGGTGTTTATGAGCTGAAGTGTCTGGAGTTCAGTGACCAGTTTAGGAAAAAAGAGCCGCACTCAACACTTCACAGCATCTTCCTATTTTGTCTGGATGAGGCTAAAAACATCTGAGAATGCAAAGTTCAGTGTTGTGAATGTATTTTTTAAGAAATAACACGTGTCCTTACACCACAATGTTGGGAGAGTAATTGACTTTTTTTAAATTTCATGAATGAACATTAAAGGTTTACAGGTCATCAGGTTTTGTGAAGAATGCTTCACCTTTTTTCCAAATGGGTCAAATGCAATCTGAATTCTGTCTATTTGAAATTCAGATTAAGCTTTTTGTAGTCACTTTGGCACAGTGACAAATGAACAAATGAACAAGAAAAGTACTGAACAACAATAACCAAAAGAAACAATGTTTGCAAAATTGTACAGATTTATTTCTGAATCAGTTTTTACTAATATGTAATTGGTGTACATTACTATGATAATTAAAGAAATGAAGGAATTCCCATAAACTACTTGATATTGGGTGTTTGTGTGCGGTAGGATAAAAGCCCTGGAGGCTTCCTCCATCTTCTCTCCATTTACTCCAGCCTACTTCCTTTTACTTTTCTTTATTTGGGATTACAAGAACAGGGACAACAAATCCATGTCTTCTTTATTCTTTGGCCCTTGATGTAAAGAAAGACAATATTCAAGAGCCCATGGCACTTTTCCTTGTTTTTTTTTACTTCTCTGCACTGTTAAAATGGCAAATTATCATCTTAGATGTGACCTAAAGCTCAAACAATGAGGTAGACCTACTGTATGTTCTAGTATTTCTGTGCAGAAGCAACTGGGTTTATACACATCTAGCAAACTCACTTGCAAGACTTTTTTTCTAACAAAATAAAGTATGACATGATAATTTAAGGATTTCCTGAAAGGGCATAAACTCCAGGCAGTTGTGCGTTCATATGAGCTGGCCTGACATCCACCGGTGCCATTGTAAAAACTGGATTTTTCGACTGTGCACAGTTTTGTGGATATATTTTACCTCCTGTTTGTTTTGACTGCTTGAGGCCAGCGTGTCTGTAACGGAGCGGCTCAACAATCCATGATGTTATTGTCGGTGCTAGGCTACCTGCTGGAATTAGTTTCACTACTTTAAGAGTGAGTTGAAGGTATTTTAAGGTAGAATACCCTCTTCAATATCACAATATTAGCTTTAATCACTTTTTGGTAGAAGAAATGCTACATTTTGATAGTTGCATTGGCCCTTTAGAGGTACTTATAGTGGTACAAGTGTAATGGTTGGGCTATAATTTGTTAAATATCATCCCCAACAGTGAACTGAAGGTATTTTGATGCAGAGTACCCTTTTCTGTATCACAGTATTAGCTTTAATCACTTTTTGGCAGAGGAAATACTGCATTTTTGTAGCTGTACTGGTCATTTAGAGGTACTTATAGTGGTATAAATGTACTGCATGATTAACTCTCTTTCAAATATCACCCACAGCCGTGAAATAAAGTTAATATGGGCCAGAAAACCACTGTCAGTATCACAGTATTAGCTTTAATAACTTTTTGGCTACAAAATACTGCATTTTACTAGCTGTACTAGCCCTTTATGGGTACTTAACATGGTACAAATATACAGGTTAGCTTCTGATCTTTAAAATATAAACCACAAGAGTGAATTGAAGGTATTGAGGGAGAATACCCTTTCACTGTATTAGCTGTATTCAATTTTTGGCAGGGGGAGTACTGTATTTTTCAGGCTGTACTGGATCTTTGGACGTACTTAAACTAAAAGAAAACACTACGTGGTTTATTGTAAACAACACAAAGATACACAGAATCAGTGGATTAATTGCAAAGTGTATAATTTTCTATATTTTATTATTATTTTTGTATATGTTACACTCTTCACACGGAACTGATGGAGCCCTATAATGTCCTATGATACACAGACATAATCTACACATGTATGCACTTTTAAATATTTTGTTTCTGGATGGTAATGATATATACTTAAATCTAAGCTGTTCAGAATTGAATAAAACCCTGCAGCAGAAACAAATCGACCTCTGTCATGGAGAAATATTACATATAGCCACTTAAGTACGTCCAGCAGTCACGACTCAATAAAGCCTGATTGTACTCTAAACTACTAGGGCTTCTTTAGGCTATAATTACAATGATTCCATTACAATGTACTCAAATGTTCAAGCATTCCAGGACACACCTTCGTACTACCACTCGTTGGGTTTATTGTGACACCTTATTGATTCTGACAAAAGCAGCTGAATGCGGATATATGGCGGCCGATGCATTTCAACAGACAACGCGCGCTCCCGTGGACCTTAATTACTTTTGGCAAAAAGTCACTTTTTGGCACATCACCTGCAGCAGGAGCAGTGACGTGCGGTCAGGGGAGGCAGGTGAGGCAGAGCCTCCCCTGAAAGAAAAAAAGTTAACCATAAAATATAATAAATGTTAATATTTGTCGGCTGGTGTGTGTTGTAGGCCCTTTTGCCGTTCGAATCCGATGTTGAAGGATTTTTTTTTTCAATAAAGAATAGCAGAATTTCCGTATGTCCCGTTCAAATACATGGAGGAGATGCGCGATGAGGCAGCACTTTGCTGTGCCTCTCGGTGGATCGTGTAATCCTCACAAACTGTATGCGATGCAAATAGTGTGTCGCTGTCCCTCTATATGTCACAAATAAAATGCTTTAAAACACTCTGATTATATGCTCTGCCTTGCCATAATCTGGATAATGTATAAAATGTAGTTCTGTAACGTGTTTAGGCTCCAGATTAACCATAATACCCAGTTCAAAAGTTACTCGGTGAGGCAAACAGTACGCCTGCCTCAAGGCAGAGGGCGCTAGTGAGCCCACAGATTCTTGCACTACCTACAATCTTCTTCGTAAAAGAAAACACTACGTGGTTTATTGTAAACAACACAAAGATACACAGAATCAGTGGATTAATTGCAAAGTGTATAATTATCTTTGTTTTATTATTATTTTTTTGTATAGGTCACATTTCTGGGTTATATGGATAATGTCCTATGATACACAGACATAATCTACACATGTATGCACTTTTAAATATTTTGTTTCTGGATGGTAATGATATATACTTAAATCTAAGCTGTTCAGAATTGAATAAAACCCTGCAGCAGAAACAAATCGACCTCTGTCATGGAGAAATATTACATATAGCCACTTAAGTACGTCCAGCAGTCACGACTCAATAAAGCCTGATTGTACTCTAAACTACTAGGGCTTCTTTAGGCTATAATTACAATGATTCCATTACAATGTACTCAAATGTTCAAGCATTCCAGGACACACCTTCGTACTACCACTCGTTGGGTTTATTGTGACACCTTATTGATTCTGACAAAAGCAGCTGAATGCGGATATATGGCGGCCGATGCATTTCAACAGACAACGCGCGCTCCCGTGGACCTTAATTACTTTTGGCAAAAAGTCACTTTTTGGCACATCACCTGCAGCAGGAGCAGTGACGTGCGGTCAGGGGAGGCAGGTGAGGCAGAGCCTCCCCTGTCAATCTTGAAAAGAAAAAAAAGTTAACCATAAAATATAATAAATGTTAATATTTGTCGGCTGGTGTGTGTTGTAGGCCCTTTTGCCGTTCGAATCCGATGTTGAAGGAATTTTTTTCAATAAAGAATAGCAGAGTTTCCGTATGTCCCGTTCAAATACATGGAGGAGATGCGCGATGAGGCAGCACTTTGCTGTGCCTCTCGGTGGATCGTGTAATCCTCACAAACTGTATGCGATGCAAATAGTGTGTCGCTGTCCCTCTATATATTGCAAATAAAATGCTTTCAGACACTCTGATTATATGTTCTGCCTTGCCATAATCTGGATAATGTATAAAATGTAGTTCTGTAACGTGTTTAGGCTCGCAGATTAACCATAAAACCCAGTAAAAAAGTTACTCAAGGCAGAGGGCGCTTGTGAGCCCAGATTCTTGCGCTACCTACAATCTTCTTCGTGCTTGTTTATATTTCCTTTACACCTTATCAAAATGGAAGATTACATTTCCAAGATGAGAAAATTCACAAATCTGGACTTTCAATCAAAACATTTTTGACAGTCTGGACACTTTTGATCCAGAAGGATCTTCTTTATTGAAAACATTTGTTTTAATATTGGATTC